ATTGACTCTAGTGCAAGTGGGAGACTGAAGGAAATATGCCCTAGAGGCAATAATAAAGTTATTATTTTTTTCCTTATTTCATGATAAATGTTTATTATTCATGCTAGAATTGTATTAACCGGAAACATGATACATGTGTGAATACATAGACAAATAGAGTGTCACTAGTATGCCTCTACTTGACTAGCTCGTTGATCAAAGATGGTTATGTTTCCTAGCCATAGACATGAGTTGTCATTTGATTAACGGGATCACATCATTAGGAGAATGATGTGATTGACTTGACCCATTCTGTTAGCTTAGCACTCGATCGTTTAGTATGTTGCTATTGCTTTCTTTATGACTTATACATGTTCCTATGACTATGAGATTATGCAACTCCCGTTTACCGAAGGAACACTTTGTGTGCTACCAAACGTCACAATGTAACTGGGTGATTATAAAGGTGCTCTACAGGTGTCTCCAAAGGTACATGTTGGGTTGGCGTATTTCAAGATTAGGATTTGTCACTTCAATTGTCGGAGAGGTATCTCTGGGCCCTCTCGCTAATGCACATCACTTAAGCCTTGCAAGCAATGCAACTAATGAGTTAGTTGCGAGATGATGTATTACGGAACAAGTAAAGAGACTTGCCGGTAACGAGATTGAACTAGGTATTAAGATACCGACGATCGAATCTCGGGCAAGTAACATACCGATGACAAAGGGAACAACGTATGTTGTTATGCGGTTTGACCGATAAAGATCTTCGTAGAATATGTGGGAGCCAATATGAGCATCCATGTTCCGCTATTGGTTATTGACCGGAGACGTGTCTCGGTCATGTCTACATTGTTCTCGAACCCGTAGGGTCCGCACGCTTAAAGTTTCGATGACATTTATATTATTAGTTTATGAGTTTTGATGTACCAAAGGAGTTTGGAGTCCCGGATGAGATCGGGGACATGACGAGGAGTCTCGAAATGGTCGAGACGTAAAGATCGGTATATTGGACGACTATATTCGGATATCGGATTCCGAGTGATTCGGGTATTTATCGGAGTACCAGAGAGTTACGGGAATTCGCCGGGGAGTATATGGGCCTTATTGGGCCATACGGGAATAGAGGAGAGAGGCCAAAAGGAAGGAGGCGCGCGGCCCCCCTCTGGTCCGAATTGGACAAGGGGTGCGGCCCCTTTTCTTTCTTCCTCTCCTCCTCTTTCCTTCTCTCCTACTCCAACAAGGAAAGGAGGAGTCCTACTCCCGGTGGAAGTAGGACTCCCCCCTTGGTGCGCCCTCCTCCTAGGCCGGCCGCCTCCCCCCTTGCTCCTTTATATACAGGGGCAGGGGGGCACCCCATGGACACAACAATGGATCATTGATCTCTTAGCCGTGTGCGGTGCCCCCCTCCACCATAATCCTCGATAATATTGTAATGGTGTTTAGGAGAAGCCCTGCGACAGTAGAACATCAAGATCATCACCACGCCGTCGTGCTGATAGAACTCTTCCCCGACATTCTGCTGGATCAGAGTCCGGGGATCGTCATCGAGCTGAACGTGTGCTAGAACTCGGAGGTGCCGTAGTTTCGGTGCTTGATCGGTCGGGCGTGAAGACGTACGACTACATCAACTGCGTTGTGCTAACGCTTCCGCTTTCGGTCTACGAGAGTACGTGGACAACACTCTCCCCTCTCGTTGCTATGCATCACCATGATCTTACGTGTGCGTAGGATTTTTTTTGAAATTACTACGTTCTCCAACATACTCCATGCAGTTCCCTTTATCATCCATTTTATTATTCATATCTCTATATGGTTGTTATATATAGATGCTATTACAGGGATGTAGCACTATATTTTCCAGCCATTGTTGTAAACAAAACACCCATTGTACTGATACATATGTTTTTTTTCTTTTAGTTATCTCTTTCAGAGTGGACGAGGTTTCTAGATCGAAGAAATTATTTTTAGATCGCCCTTTGGGTTCAAAGAATTCAGAATAAGTTCCTACATGAGCTGTTACTGGATAAATCATGTACGACACCATGCTTGCACCCTTATCCCTGGAGTATTTGCAGTTGTATTCTTGGATGTTCGTTGCACAAGATGGTGATTGTTTTTCTTTCGTTTCTGATTCACAGATATTGGCATGCATTTGTCCGTGCATTTTCATCCTAGGATTGTCGATAATTTGAACCTGTTAATTCGGAAAAGATATGCCCATCATCATTCCACTTTGTTTAGTTTGAGGAGAACCGATCGAGTAGTCAAATATCTGATTATTTGTTTTCTGTTCTATGTATAAATTTGGATGCAACATTTCACTGCAACAACTATGTTTCCTCTTCGGCAGTTGGGGCATGCGTCCAATCGTGTTAAAAAATTAAGCTAATTTAATTTGGCGCCTAACAATAATAGTTGCCAACTAAAAGAGGATCTAATTTTGCTAATAGTGGTAAAATAAAAGAGGATCCAAACTCTCACGAGTTTATTTTTTTGTGTGTGTGTCCTTGTATAATAGTGATGATTTAAATCACTTTGGTTTTCTTGGAAGCAAATTCCGAATTATGGATTGTCCACTTCACATCAAATTTTCAGGATAGTAATTCTGCATTTGGATTAGAATTGTTGTGGTTGATATACTATCTGAACTTTTCTTACACTATGTAATGTTTAGTTATTACATGTTGGCATAGACATGCATTGCGAGTAGGATAAGTTGACAGCAGCTACCCTCGAAGCTGCTCTTTGCATGTAAAGGAAGCTCGGAAACAGTGTTTTCTTGAGGAAACAAAGCATGATTGTGGATCTTCTCAAAATTGTCTGGATGAGAGTGATTGGCTTGCAGAATTGGCTGACATTGGAATGCTTGGCGTGTTCGAAGATGTTGGCCTATATACTGTTCAAACAACTTGTTCGTCGCAAGGCGACAATGCAACTGACTTGAAACAACGTTCACCCTTTACTGCCACCACATACGATAGCCTGCATTGAAGGGCCTTCCTACGCCATCGATAAGCCGCGCCAGCTGCTTTATAGGGGTAGCGCTCAGTCATGTTGGGTCGCCATTCGGGCATCTAGAGCACTATCGACAATGATGAAGACAAGTATACTGTTGTCCCCTTCTGAAGTTCTATTTAGGCTGGGAATCAATCAATGCATTATCTTTTTTTTGAAAAGGAGGATGACCCCGGATTCTGCATCTGGGAGATGCATATGGCCACTTTATTGATTATTCTCAGGACCTTACAAAGTATTACAACAATGAGCCTGAATCCATCATCTTGGCAACACATGCCGCTACTTCTATCCAAAATGATGAAGGGGTGCTAGCTGGGCCACTACCCAAACCACTCACCTAGGACTAACATCAAAAGCCGGAAACCGAAACATATTCGGAAGCCCCAGCCGAGCCACATACCGGGTCTGGGGCACAATCCGGTCAGACGCACTCGTGTGTCGTCGCCGCCATCTTCCACATGTCCGTCTTCAGATCATATTGAGGCTTCTACCTTGTCTGGCCACTCTACCATCGACGTCACCATGACGCCAGACAGCAACCTCCTCCTGCGCGAGTCCATCTCCGTGCATCGGGCGGCGAGCCTCCGCAGCGCCATGCCTCCGATCTTCGCCGCCATCAATGAGTGAGATGAAGTACCGCTCCAGCACGGCATGTACAAGGTGAGGAAGGGCGAGGTCTCCATCGAAGACACGGCCGGAAGAGAAGCACCGCAGCCCCGAGACACTGCCCGGAGTTGCGACGCAGTAGATCAAGCTGGCCGCCACCAGGAACCAGACAAGCACGCCATGCACACCCAGCATCCCCATGCCCAAGTCGGCGCCTTCAAGAAGGTGACGACGATGTGGCGCCGCCGCCGCTTAGCCACCGGGGCTAGGGTTTTCACCCGGGCGCAGGGGAAGGGGAGGGGGAGGTTTAGCCTCGGCGCCGCCACCAAGGAGGGAATGGCGTCCGGGACGCCATCGACGCCGTGACCGCCACTGGCGGCCAAGGGTTTCCCCCGGCCAAGCACCCTGCCGCCACCTCCGAGCCAGCCACATCATCAGCAGGCGCGTGTACCCCGGAGATCCAGGCCGGCCGAAGGTCATGCATCACGAGCGGACCAGGATCGCCTCCGATCTGACGAGGGGAGCCCGGGGCCTCCCTGCGCCATGACCTGCGCCCACCGGGACCTTGCTGCCCGCGCAGCCGAGGGAAACCGGCCTAGCTCACCGACGAGCACTCCCCGCCGCCGAAGAAGCGCCGTCCGCACCAGCGAGGCCGCCGCCTCAGATCCGGACCCTCACCACCGAAAGGAATCGGTCAGATTGGGGGAAGTGCTGGATCCCGCCAAGTCGCTCCGCCGCCACCATCCCGGGAGCCGGCGCCGGCTTCGCCGGCCGTTCCTCCGGTGGCGGCGAGGTGGGGAGGGAGGTGGGAAGGTTGTAGGCCGCCGGATCTGGGTTCCCCCGTCGCCGCCAGGGAGGGCTACGCGGGGGACGGGAATGATGGACCCTGTTTATGCCAGGCTGGTAGAAGCGAGCATCAATGCATTATCTGAGTATTGAATTTTCTGATTTTCTGTTGACCAATACGTTGAGCACAATTGTCGGAATGAAGAGAAGAATTAAATGATTTTATTTGAATAAATATGCCTTCTAACTATGATGAACAAGAAAATTTTGGTCTAAGGTTAGACGTGCATTGCACGTGCAAATTTACTTGTATAAAAATATGCTACGTCTTTGATGTACTCTGGAAAAAAAGTGGACATAAAATAAACCCAAAATAAAGCAAGCGGGTTGGGCCGTCGCGGGAAATGTCGCCGACCCGCGACAAGAAAGCATCCGACTCCAACGACGAAGGAAGCATCGCATCAAACGGAATCAGCCGTGAGCTCACCCAACCACGGCGTGAGCAGGTTCCAAACAAATACCCACCAAAGTGCTCGCGGTCCGTCTCCCACGCCCCACATTTCTGTCGCCGCGCAGCCTTCGCCGTCAGAAGACGGGCGTGAGTGAGGATGGCGAGGCCGCAGTGCTGCGCGAACCCGCCGACGCTGAACCCCGCCGGCGGGGAGGGCAGGGTCGTCGACGACGGCTTCGGCGGGATCGCGGCGTACGTCGCTGGCTCCACCGAGTCCAAGGCCGCAGTGATCCTCATCTCCGATATCTTCGGTAATACCCCCTCGACCAGAACTCCAAAATTGCTCCTCTGCTTGGGTCAGTAACGATTAACTAACAGCATTTCGCCTCCTGTCTTTGTAGGTTTTGAAGCGCCAAATCTGAGGTATAATGTTTTTGCACTGCCACGAATTTGATTAGCATAGATTGGTCTCTAAAGCCCCCTGCGCTGCGGCATTCATCACATACCCTGGGCAAATAGATTCTCCTTTCCTCAGTGTTCTTAACACAGTTTGGGGTTGGTATTTTAGTGCTGCTGTTCCACCGGAATATGGTTTTTACCGCCTTTTTATCCTTTTATTTATGACGGGCTACGAAAATTTACAGCAACCAACAAGTCTCACCATGAACGGATTCTGATTGCCTAAGAAAAAAACGGATTCTGATGAAATTTCTTATCTCATGAAGGAAGATAGCTGATAAAGTCGCTTCGTCCGGATACCTGGTTGTGGTGCCAGATTTCTTACATGGGGAGCCATATTCACACGAAAACGCCGATAGACCATTTCCAGCGTGGATAAAGGATCATGCCCCGGTTTGTTGTCCCCTGATTCCCTGCAACCTTGCTCCTTTTATTTTTGTATAATAAACGTTCAGGACTTCAGGCCACCTGATTTCAGTTTACACAGTGTCAGCTAAAGACTAAGTAACCAAGGGTGGGGAAATGATGATAAAACCAATAGGTCCAAGTCTAACAGGATTTGGCAGCTTGAAATGACTACATAAGAAGATGTATGATATTCTCCTGTTCGGTTTCTCCAAACTGGAGAAACAACTCTCTTGTCTTGGCCGGTCAGATGGCTAAATTGGAGATGTCACACTTAACCTGTCCGGGAATGAGCCTCCTCACCTCATAGGAATAAAATCGGGTGGTGTCCTCCCACCAGTCCCATTTTGATTCTTCTTTGTCAAAATGTTAATCTATCTAGTACATGAATAAATTGGTCCGTTATGCAGGAAAAGGAATTTGAAGAGGCAAAACGAATAATTGCCACTCTAAAGGAACAAGGAGCGTCTAGTATTGGGGCTGCGGGTTATTGCTGGGGTGGTAAGCTAAGAACTCATGTCTTTCTTTATATCTGAACTCAAAAATAGAAGTTATAGCCTTCTGAGCATTGTGTTTATTTTCTCCACATATCAGCAAAGCTAGTTACCGAGTTAGCGAAGGCTAATGAGATCCAAGCAGCTGCTATGTCACACCCTTCTTTTGTTAGTGTTGATGATATAAAAGGTAGATTTCAGAGACTCGCTAATGTTGTTCTATTTGAAACACTTCAAATTCTTACACTACGGCATGTGCTATATGTCAGAGACGAAATGCCCCATTGCCATACTTGGAGCTGAAACAGACTTTATGTCCCCACCTGAATTGGTCAAGCAGTTCGAGCAGATTTTGTCCGACTCAGGGGTAAGTTTTCATTTCGAACAGCCCGATCTTCAAGTCTATAACATGTGATATGACCAAGACCAAACCAAGCTGTTAAATTTGAAACCGTCCCGGTGCCAAACTGTATCTCATCAGAATGTTGTGAGATTTTATTATTGTCAGCCTGTAGCAGGTGCACCTTCGAATTTCCATGGCATCATATGCTTCTTCCCAAATCATGTACTCCCGCCGTTTCATATTAAGAGCCATCAAGCCTCTACAGCTTTAGGTTCATATGCTAGTGACCAAATGAACTTGTTTTAGGTTCATATGCTAGTGAGCCAAATGAACTTGTTTTAGGTTCATATGCTAGTGACCTAAGAGAGCGGATTATCTACCGGTGCACGGTGTATACCGTGCATGCATCACCTACCCACCATGTCAGATGTATTCTTGAAAGTGTGTCTGACAAAGTCAGGTGAATAACCTACTCTACCTATCAGCCTATCTCTTTTCTCCTACTCAATTAGTACTATATTTTAAGTTGAGGATATTTGAAACCCACATAGATTATGAACCTCAAGTTTGATTTATGATTTGTTTGCATATTTTTAATAATCGTGATGAGACCTTTTAAACAAGATCAGACTCGAAAATATTTTAGTGAAATTTTAAACGGGACCATGTTTAATAAAGTTTCATCATGTTTCAAATTTTGATTTTTAAAATTTGTCGAAATATATTCGAGAATGTTTTTGTTTGAAAGCCCTCGTCACGAGAAGCACAAATATGCAGATGCATCTTCTATTGAAATTTTGGTTTATAAGATAAAATGATTTCTAATTTGTAAACACGTGAAAAAACATGTGAGGGTGGAGCAAGACATGATACGATGGACAGAGCATAGCTTCTGTGCATTCTGTGGATGAAGCATAGTAATAAATGGTTGATGTGACAAGAAACAAAAGTGGTAGAATGGGAGGGAATAAATTCAATTGAATAAGCAACATGCGATGAAAATAGAGTAGGCCACATTTGCATGCGTCCGTATCTCCAAGAAATGGATGGCTTAGCCATGCACGGGATATCCCGTGCATGGTAGAACATCATTTCTCAGTGACCTAATGTTATTATGCTGCTGACCTACTGTTTCTTGAAAGTGTGTGTTCATGATGGAAAACGGAGAAAGATGTCATAAAGTACTGTAGGTTGTGGACTGATTGGAGAAACACATTATCAATAGGAGATCATTGCAGAAGTAGAGCTCGAAACCTTTCATCCGGATATGATTTATTTTAGAGAAACAACTTGACATTAATATTTGGGCCTGCAGATTCGTCACTTTGTCAAGATCTACCCTGGTGTGTCCCATGGGTGGACTGTGAGATACAACAGCGATGACGCATCTGCTGTCAAGTGGGCCGAGCAAGCCACGGTGGACATGACCAGCTGGTTTAACGAGAACCTGAAGTAGCAGCCCCAATTTGGGAGTCTGCTTATGTATCCACTGAAATGTGCTCCCTCCGTTCTATTTTTTTTTGTGTGAATCAAATGTATATAGACACCTTTTAGCGTGTTTGTTCACTTACTTTGGTCCGTATGTATTCTATATTGAAATATCCGAAACATCTTATATTTATGAACAGAGGAAATAGTATTGTACTGTAACGAAATGTGATATTTGTGTTAAACATTGTATTATGACGTGTGCGTGTGTATGGTTGTTGTAATATGGTTAGGCTTAGAGATATGATCCCATAGTTTGTTAGATTACTTGGAGATCAATCCTAGCCTAACTAACCCTTGTAATCTCTTGGCCTTGAGCCCTATATTAACACGCACGCGTCCCTGCGGCTATGCATACGCTTAAGCCTAGTTTTCTACATGGTATACAGAGCCGCTCCCTTCCATCGCATCTAGATGTCTTCATCGTCCTCCTCCGCCATGGCCACACCTTCCCTCGCATCCCTCGGCCATACCATCACGGAAAAGCTGAACCGTGAGAACTTCCTTGTCTGGAGGGCGCAGGTACTACCGCATGTTCGCGCGGCGGGCATGATGGGGTTCCTGGACGGTTCCCAGAAGGAAACCGACGCCGAGATCCGCACGGAGAAGGACGTCGCCGGCAAGAAGGAGGTCACCGTCGCCGCCAACCCAGAGCACGCCATCTGGGTTACCCAGGACCAGCAGGTGCTCTCGTTTTTGATCGCTTCCCTTTCTCGCGAAGTGCTCCTGCAGGTCAGCAACTGCACGACGGCCGCCGCCACCTGGAGCGCTCTTCTCCAGAGGCGATCCCGTCTCCCGATCTGGATCCGCTACAGGAGCTCTCTCAAGGATCTTCTGCGGATGATTCTGGTGCAGCCGTGTCGTCTTCTTCAAATTGTCTTCTACAACAACTTGATCGACCAGCTCCGCCACCTCCTGTGCGCTCCAACACCAGGTCTCAAAGTGGTATTGTTAAACCTAAAATATATAAAGATGGCTGTGTACGTTGGGGCTCGTTTTGTGCAACAGGTGAACCACAAATTTTTGGAGAAGCATTGGGTGAACCTCGTTGGAGGGAGGCAATGGATGAAGAGTATGCTGCTTTAATGAAGAACAAAACTTGGCGTCTAGTTCCACCAGCCAGAGGCAGAAATGTAATTGACTGCAAATGGGTCTATAAGGTAAAGAGGAAATCTGATGGCACCATTGACAGATACAAGGCACGTCTGGTTGCTAAAGGATTTAAGCAGAGGTATGGGATTGACTATGAGGATACATTTAGTCCAGTGGTAAAAGCTGCTACTATTAGATTGATTCTTTCAGTTGCAGTATCTAGAGGTTGGTGCATAAGACAACTAGATGTAAAGAACGCGTTCTTGCATGATGTTCTGGAAGAGGAAGTATTCATGAGACAATCTCCTGGGTATGAGAATCCAAATGCACCACGTCATATTTGCAAACTTGATAAGGCACTGTATGGACTAAAACAAGCACCTAGAGCTTGGTACTCTCAGCTCTCCTCTAAGTTACAATCACTTGGATTTACTCCCTCAAAGGGAGATACCTCATTGTTTTTCTATCACCGACGTGGGATAACCATTTTTATGCTTATTTATGTTGATGATATAGTTGTCACTAGTTCATCATCTAAAGCAGTTGAAGCTCTTCTTATGGACTTGAGCAAGGAGTTTGCATTTAAGGATCTTGGTAGTCTTCACTTCTTCCTTGGAATTGAGGTAAAGAATGCAAAAGATGGAATTGTGTTGTCACAAGGAAAATATGTGCAGGAAATACTTCAGAGAATGGGCATGAAAGGATGTAAGCCGTCATCTACACCTTTGTCTACCTCTGAGAAAATGTCTCTTCATGATGGAGAGATCCTTGGAGCAGAGGACTCCACCAGGTACAGAAGTATTGTAGGAGCATTACAGTATTTGACATTAACTAGACCAGATATCTCATATTCAGTAAATAAAGTATGTCAGTTCTTACATGCTCCTACTAGTGCACATTGGACTGCAGTAAAGAGGATACTTAGATATCTTCAAGGGACCTAGAGTCATGGACTGAAAATTGGAAAGTCAGACTCGATGCTTGTAAGTGCTTTTTCAGATGCAGATTGGGCAGGATGTCCTGATGATAGAAGATCAACAGGAGGCTTTGCAGTGTTTCTTGGCAGTAATCTGATTTTTTGGAGTGCTCGCAAGCAGCCAACTGTATCCAGGTCAAGTACAGAAGCTGAGTACAAGGCGTTAGCTAATGCCACTGCAGAGATTATCTGGGTTCAGAATTTGCTAACAGAGTGGGGTGTTTCTCACCCAAGAGCAGCATCACTTTGGTGTGACAATCTTGGTGCAACCTATTTGTCTGCTAATCCTATGTTCCATGCCAGGACGAAGCATATTGAAATTGACTACCACTTTGTTCGAGAAAGAGTGGCTGATAAACTGCTGAATATCAGGTTCATACCTACGGGTGATCAGGTGGCGGATGGGTTTACTAAACCTCTCACCTTGCGGCAATTAGAAGCTTTTAGGCACAATCTCAACTTAGAAAGTTGTGATTGAGGGGGAGTGTTAAACATTGTATTATGACGTGTGCGTGTGTATGGTTGTTGTAATATGGTTAGGCTTAGAGATATGATCCCATAGTTTGTTAGATTACTTGGAGATCAATCCTAGCCTAATTAACCTTTGTAATCTCTTGACCTTGAGCCCTATATTAACACGCTCGCGTCCCTGCAGCTATGCATACGTTTAAGTCTAGTTTTCTACAATTTGCAGTTTTGGGAGCTGATATTTATCCTTGCGCTTAGTTCACTGCACAGTTGCGCCCCAATGAGTTCATTTTTTTGCACTTGCAGTGCAGTGAACTGGTGCACTGTTCTTTGCCTTACTGGGCTGGCGCTCGTTGAGTTCTGCTCAACAGGGGAACTTTTGAGCCACCTAGGACATATCGGTTCAATAAAAATCCTCTAGAAGAAACAGGGCAGCATTGTTAACCGCTTTGCAGGCAACCGGATCGCAGCCCCTAATAAAATGTAGTATAATACTCCCTCCCTCCGGCTCTTTTTAATCTGTGTATAAGTTTTATCCAAAGTTAAAATATCTTTAATTTAACTAAACTTGTAGAGAAAAGCATCAACACAATACCAAATTAACATTTTTAGATTTATTATGAAATGTAGTTTCATAGTATATACTCCCTCCGTCTCAAAATAAGTGACTCAATTTTATACTAGTTTTAGTACAAAATTAGTATAATATAGAGTCACTTATTTTGGAACGGAGGAAGTATATTTGGTGTTCTAGACGTTAATAATTTTTTATATAAATTTGATCAAATTTTGTTAAGTTTGATTTGACATAAATATAATACGCGAAGTAAAAAAAACCAGAGCATACACTCATACACAGTACACTATAGATCACCAGTTCGCTCACGTGGCCGGCTGCTAACACTTTTGTCCTGCCATTATATACTAATATAAGATAAGATTTCAGGCTGCGAATCGAAGAAAAGTCTTTGAATCAAAGTAAGCACAGGACGTGATGTTGCATGTTCGATGAACGTGGCGCGCGGCCAAAGCCGATCGAGCTCACATGCCCTAAATAAAAATAAAAACTCTAGCAGCCGACGACTTTTCTCGTCGATTGACCCCCAGAACTGGTCAATAAAAGGACGGCACATCGCGCCTTATCCGGCAGCAAACACCAAACCATGTCGGCACCGAGAGCTGCTCCGAGTCTAGCCACGGCGGCGACGGCCATTCTGGCCGTCCTGGCCGCGGCGCTCGCCACGAACGCTCGCGCCCAGACCTGCGGCTCGCAGGCCGGCGGCGCGACGTGCCCCAACTGCCTCTGCTGCAGCCGTTTCGGGTTCTGCGGCAGCGGCTCCGACTGGTGCGGAGCCGGCTGCCAGAGCCAGTGCAGCGGCTGCCCCGCTCCCGGCGGCCAGGGCGTGGCGTCCATCGTGTCCAAGGACCTCTTCGAGCGGCTCCTCCTCCACCGCAACGACGCCGCGTGCCTCGCCCGCGGGTTCTACACCTACGAGGCGTTCCTCGCCGCGGCCGCCGCGTTCCCGGCCTTCGCCGGCACGTCCGAGGGGCTGAGCGTCGAGACGCGGAGGCGGGAGGTGGCCGCCTTCCTGGGCCAGACCTCCCACGAGACCACCGGCGGGTGGCCGACCGCGCCCGACGGCCCCTTCTCGTGGGGCTACTGCTTCAAGCAGGAGCGCAACCCGCCGTCCGACTACTGCCAGCCGAGGCCGGAGTGGCCGTGCGCGCCCGGCAGGCGCTACTACGGCCGCGGCCCCATGCAGCTCTCCTTCAACTACAACTACGGCCCGGCGGGGCGCGCGATCGGCGTGGACCTGCTGAGCAACCCGGACCTGGTGGCGGCCGACCCGGTGGTGTCGTTCAAGACGGCGCTGTGGTTCTGGATGACCCCGCAGGCGAACAAGCCGTCGTCGCACGCGGTGATCACGGGGCGGTGGACGCCGACGGCCGCGGACAACGCGGCCGGCCGGGTGCCCGGGTACGGCGTGATCACCAACATCATCAACGGCGGGCTGGAGTGCGGGCGTGGGCAGGACCCTCGGGTGGCCGACAGGATCGGGTTCTACAAGCGCTACTGCGACGTCCTCGGCGTCGGCTATGGGAGCAACCTCGACTGCAACAACCAGAGGCCGTTCACCAGCGGCGCCTCGGCTGGGCTCGCGGCGCAGTGAAAAACGCCGGCGTGTACCAGTGTCAGCATGTGATTCATGTATGTGTGATTCCAGGAGTTCTCTTCTCTACTGTCTAAGGTGACGAGCGTGTTGCCTCGATCCGTGAAAGCTCGCGCGCGTCAGCCAGCATTTCTTTCGGCCTGCTAAGGCTTAATAAACTCGGCTGTAGCTATAATACTCGAATAATGATGGAATGACCCTGGTTATGGAAAACTCTGACAAGACTTTTGAAGACGACATGAGAGCAAACGAGACGAGACG